TTAAGGCGGGTGGGGGGGGGGGAAGAGAGAGAGAGACCCACTGGTGGACCTCCTGATGGCACCTGGTATTTTTGGCCACTGTGTGATACAGAGTGTTGGACTGGATGGGCCTTTGGCCTGATCCAACATTGGCGTCTCTTATGTTTTTATGACCCTAGTTCTGCCCCCTTACAAGTAGATCTGGCTTCTTAACAGGACTTCGACAAAACCGAATGAGATATTTAAAAAGTCTGTATTTTGAAAGTGTTTTTTTTAAAAAAAAATAAAATAAAAAAGTACAGCCTCCAGGACGGAGGCACAGGAAGACGCAGAAATGCTCCCTCGGGCGGGGAATGTCCAAGCAGAATTCCTCCAGAGGCAGACTCTGGTAGTACAGATGGGTCAAAGGCCTTCTCCCACCTGGCCGCTCAGAGCTCTCCGGTGGTCTTTCGTGCTAATTCCAGCCATTCACCAACCTGGGCGCTGATCCGCTGCACGGAAGAAGAAGAAGAGAGAAGAGATTGGATTTATACCCCGCCCTTCACTTGGGAGTCTCAGAGCGGCTTACAAACTCCTTTCCCTTCCCCTCCCTACAACAGACACCCTGTGAGGTGGGTGGGGCTGAGAGAACTCTGACACAAACGGCTCTTTTTCAAGAACAGCTGTGCCAGAGCTTGTGACTGACCCAAGGTCACACCAGCAGGTGCAAGTGGAGGAGTGGGGAATCAAACCCGGTTCTCCCAGATTAGAGTCCGCACACTTCACCACTACACCAAACTGAAGGGGTGGGGAGGGGAAGGGGGAGGGGAGAGAAAAGCCAGGGTTAGCTATGGAGTACCAAGATTGACACACCAAACGCTCCCCTGGATACCACATTGCAAGACTCCAACTTGAACTCTTATTCAGAGGTCAGTCTCATATGGAGTGGCCAACTCTACACCGGGAAAATGTCCAGAGATTTAGGGGTGGAGCCTGGGGAGGGTGGGGGTTAACAGTGCTCCCTCTAAGCTGAGTCGGTGTGAGCCAGCTCACCGTCTTTTAGCCTCCGGCTCGCACGTTTGTTGCCTCAGCTCGGGAAGGAGGGCTCCGGAGCAAACCCACTGATGCAGCAGCCAAGTGGCTCGCTCACAACTTTAATGCCAGGAGCTCACACAGTGGAATTTTTGCTCACAAGACTCCACAGCTTGGAGGGAGCATTGGTGGGCTGTAACACCATAGAAGCCGGCGTCCAGAGCGGCCATTTTCTCCAGGGGGGAACGGATCTCTGTTCTCTGGAGATCAGCTGCAATTCTGGGAGATCTCCAGGCCCCACCTGGAGGATGGTAACCCGTGTTCCCTCTAAGCTGAGTGAGTGTGAGCCAGCTCACAGTTTTTAAGCCTCCAGCCTTCACAGTTTTTAAGCCTCCGGCACGTGCATTTTTGCCTCCACTTGGGAAGGAGGGCTCCAGAGCAAACTGATTTATGCAGCAGCCCAATCGCTGGCTCACAACTTTAATGCCGGTCGCTCACAGAGTAGAGGTTTTGCTCACAGGACTCCACAGCTTAGAGGGGGCATTGATTTGGTAACCCTAAGACATTTCCGGGAGCGCACACGATTCCTCCCTGAACCATTTGTAGGTCCTTCTTCCCAGGCGACTCCAGATCAATCCAGGAGTTCTCCCGGAATTACAACTGACCTTCAGGCGACACGTATCCCTCCCCCTGGAGAGGGCAGACCGAAAGAAGAAGAAACTGTGCATTATACAAGCACTTTGCCCTAGGAACATTCTTTCAGAGAATTTCTTGCAACTAAGTTATGATACATCGGTGAATATTAATGGCATTTTTGATACCTACTTGTTGAAATGACAGACCAAGAGTCGCTGCTTTCATCCACTTTCGGAAGAAGAACAGTATCAAAACGATAGAACATTCCGGAGACCGTACACCATTTTCAATTGCCTTGTGCATTTATATATGTAGATTTTTTGTACACATTTTTTGTATAAATTTTGTGATTGTTATTTAAATATTTTCTAGCAGTTTCCTCACAGTTTCTTCTTTCCCCAGTCTGTTCTGTGACTGTGACCATCATTTTTGAGTCAGCTTTGGAGGGCAGACTCTATGGTATACCATAAAGTCTAGGAGGAATGGATGTCCCTCCCACAGGATCCGCCCCCAAATCTCCAGGGATTTCCCAGCATACAGTTGGCAACCCCAAGCAGAATACATTTTATTTCTTTAAATTTAATATATCCCGCCTCTTTCTCCCAACAGGGATCGAGAGTGGTTTATGTTGTTTTGCTCTCCTCTGTCTTATACCCTCACAACAATCCTCTGAGGTAGCCTAGGCCCGAGAAGGTATGACTGGCCCAAGGTCACCCAGCAAATCTCCCATGCCAGAGAGTGGGGATTCGAACCCGGGTTTCCCAGATCCCAGTCCAACACTTTAACCACGACACCACGCTGGCTCTCATACATGGCTCTCCCTTCCATTTTGTCCCCACAAGAATCATGTGAGGTGAACTAGGCTAAAAATTCGTGGCCCAAATTCACCCAGCGAGGTTCCGAGGATGAGCGGGGATTTGAACCCAGTTCTTCCTGATCCTACTCCAACCACGACACCACCCTGGCTTTCTGGTTTTAACGGCTGTCAGCAGAAGCATGCGTAAGAACCTAAGAAGAGCCCTGCTGGATCAGACCAGTGGTCCCTCTAGTCCAGCATCCTGTCTCACATGGTGGCCAGCCAGTTCCTCTGGGGGTCCAAAAACAGAGTACACAGGCCGAGGCCTTCCCCTTATAAGAAACCTCAGAAGAGCCCTGCTGGATCAGACCAATGGTCCCTCTAGTCCAGCATCCTGTCTCACACAGCGGCCAACCGGTTCCTCTGGAGCGCCAACAACAGGGCACGGAGGCAGAGACCTTCGTAAGAACATCACAAGAGCCATGCTGGATCAGACCAGTGGTCCACCTAGTCCAGCATCCTGTCTCACACAGTGGCCAACCAGTTCCTCCGGATGGCCAACCACTGGGCATAGAGGCCAAGACCTTCATTACAACATCAGAAGAGCCCTGCTGGATCAGACCAATAACTCTGGTCCATCATCTCGTCTCACACAGTGACCAACCAGTTCCTCTGGACAGCCAGCAACAGGGCACAGAGGCCAAGGTCTTCCCATGACATTGCCTCCTGATTCTGGGATTCAGAGGTTTAGCGCCTCTGAGTGTGAAGGTTCCCCTCAGTCGCCATGGCTAGTAGCCACTGATAGATTTATCCTCCATGAATCTATATAATCCCCCTTTTAAAGCTGTGGCCATCACTACATCCTCTGGCTGCGAATCCCACATTTTAATCACTCTCGGTGTCAAGACGTATTTTCCTTTTGTGTGTGTGTGTGTGTGTGTGTGTGTATGAATGATGTACTGAGTGGCCCCCAACAGTCAGAACCTCCATATTCAGAAGATGTGTACCCCTGAGTACCAGATTCTCGAAACAACAAAACAGGGAGAGATGTCGTTTTCACGATCTGTTAGCAAGCTCCAGACGGGCTACTCTTAGAAACGAAAAGCCAGCTAGACTGGACTATCTAGACCAGCAAAGGACATTCTTACGTTCGAACGTCTTTGTGTCTGACTACCGCAAGCATGACCAAGAAGAGTATCTGGTATTACCGGAGGGATGTGGAAAAGATTTCAGCCAACCCCCTGACAAGATTTCCACGCAAGGTTCCGTGGCCCCCCCTCACCTTCCTGGCCTGGACAAGGGGCAACGGATCCGTGGGGCTAGAAGACATCATGTTGGCGCAGTGGGACGTGCCGTTGATCAGCAGGGCCAGTTCGGAGCGGGACTGGTTCTTAAGGACGCTCAGCGCGTGCCAGGGGTCGATGTCACCTGATTTAAAGGAGAGAGGCTCGCGTTAATAGCAGGATCCAATCCGAAGGGCGAGGCCGATCCCGGCGGCGCAGATCCAAGAAACAGAGCTGGCTCCAGTTCCAGGACCTAACCGCCGACCTGCAAGAGAGGAAATCATTCACACAAAGCCATTCACACAAAGCCCAGATCTGGCTCCTCTGCAGATCTTTGCTGTTAGCAGGGGTCATTTTGTAGAAAAAGAGGTGCAGGAGCTCATTAGCATAACTCATTTGCATATGCCACACCCCCTGACATCACCAGAAGTGTGTCAGAAGGCAACGCCCACCGCTCAGGCTCCACTGGACTCTTTTGGATTCCTAGCTATTGGGGGGGTGGAAACGTGTAGATCTGCCCTCGCAGAGGAGGGAGAGCTTGTACCTGAAGGCGGGCCGGGGTGGGGGCTCTGCACCTTACCTGGCTGCTTCTTGCTCCTCATGGCCCGAATGAGGGCTGCTGGGAGCAGGGGGCGGGGCTTGTTGCATGTGTCCGCCCCCTGGGCTCCTTACTGCCGGAGCTCCGCTCCTGTGCGCTCCCGCAGGAAATGACCCCTGGCCGTTAGCTGCCATTTTCAGCAACAGATGGGGTTCCCATTTACCCATTTATGAAGGGAGTCCGCCAGGTCATTGTGGCTGTTAGCCATACAGTTGCCATTTGCCCAGTGGGGAATGGGATCCCCCAGTTTTGTGGGCTGCTACCTGCCGGCGGTGGCTCAAGGAGTGAGCTCCCGTCTCTAGTCCCAGCTCCTGCCAACCTAGCAGTTCGAAAGCAAGAAATTGCAGTTAGATAAATAGGTACCACTTCGGTGGGAAGGTCACAGCGTTCCGTGCGCCTTGGTGTTTAGTCATGCCGGCCACATGACCACGGAAACGTCTTCGGACAGCGCTGGCTCTTCGGCTTGGAAACGGAGAGGAGCACCGCAACCCTAGAGTCGGACTCGACTGGCTTTTGAGCAAGGGAACCTTTACCTTTACACCTGCCGGCAGCCAACTGGCCAGCAGGAAGAAATCCCCCCCCCAAAAAAAACCCAGCGACGTCGCACACACAGGCCTGTGTCACCCAGAAGTCACATCGAGGGTGTGAGCTCTGGATTTTTGGACACAACTCTATGGTTTGATGCCGATTTTACCACAAAGTTTTGCTCAAAATCCAGAGCATCATCCCCAATGTCGCCGATGTCCCGATGTCACTTCCGGGTGACGCAGGCGAGTCGTGTGCGATGTCACTGTTTTGGGGGGAATGGGGCGGGGGCCGACGTCACTTCCCACTCCTGGAACATTCCCCCCTCCCCCTGCCGGCGGGTGAAAGGGAGTATTGGTCGCCTCAGTGCTTAGTTCTCGTGGCCCTTCCTTACACGCCCAGGGAAATTCTGATCGCCACATTAGGGTCAGGAAGCAATTTCTTCTCCGGGCCAGTTTGCCCGGGGATCCTGGAGGTTTTTTTTGTCATCTTCTGGGTGTGGAACTCCCTCTAAGCGGTGGAGTCTTGTGAGCAAAAATCCTACTTTGTGTGAGCTCCTGGCATTAAAGTGGTGAGCGAGCGATTTGGCTGCTGCATGAATCGGTGTGCTCTGGAGCCACAACCTTCCTGAGCTGAGACAAAAATGCGTGTTTGTTCAGTCGCACAGTCGAGTCCGACTCTTCGCGACTCCATGGACCAGATCACGCCAGGCCTTCCGGTCTTCCGCCATCCTCTGAAGTTTGCTCAACTTCATGTTCATTGCATCTATGACACTGTCCAACCATCTCCTCCTTTGCCGTCCCCGTCTTCTTTGACCTTCAATCTTTCCCAGCATCAGGGTCTTCTCCAGTGAGGGCTCCCTTCTCGTTGGGTGGCCAAAGTATTTGAGCTTCAGTTTCATTGTCTGGCCTTCCAGGGAACAGTCAGGGTTGATTTCTTTTAGGATTAACTGATTTGATCTTCTTGCAGTCCAAGAGACTCTCAAGAGTCTTCTCCAGCACTATAGTTCAGAAGAATCTCTTCTTCGGCCTTCCTTATAGTCCAACTCTCGCAGCCCTACATGACTACTGGGAATACCATTGCTTTGACCATGCGGACTTTTGTTGGCAGGGTGATGTCTCTACTTTTGATCATGCTGTTTAGGTTCACCATCGCTTTCCTCCCAAGGAGCAGGCGTCTTTTAATTTCATGGCTGCTGTCACAGTCACCGATGCTGATTTCTTCACGCCTACTATCTTCTCTTGATACCTCACCTAAAACCCAACCATGCCTGTTATTGTCATTCACCTGCTATTGTCATTCGCCTGCTGATGTGATTCGGCATCTGAAAGCTGTCCACTTCCCAATAAATAGGACAGATGGGCTCCCATTCTAGCTGTATCTGAAGAAGTGACTGGTGAGTCATGAAAGCTCCTACCCTGCTACGTATTTTTTTAGACTTTAAGGTGCCGCTGGACTCTTGCTCTTTTCTACTGCTACAGACAGGCTGATGACGGCTACCCATCTTGATCTGACTCTACAGAAGGAGGTAAAGTTATGCAAAACAAGCAGATAAGACCCAGAACGATGAAGCACAACTGATAAAGAGGTCGTCCTATTCAGGTTTCCTAGCTGCTGAACAAGAGAAACATTGTCAGCCCAAAACTGAGGCCTTCCCCTCCTTTAACAAGACTATTACAATCTTCCCTGCTTTTCCTCCATAGCTGTTCCACTAAAGTCAGCCTTAATGTCCTTCTTCCCCGGAACAACTGCCTGGTAGTCAATAGAAAATGTGTACCACTTTCAAATGGCATTTCATCAACGGCATTTAAATGGCGCTCTTAAATGCCATTTAAATACCATCTCCTTGGTTTACATTCTGGAACGCTGCCCGAGTTTTATCTGTCCTCTCCACCCTAAATAGAAACCACAGAAGAAGAGGCAGGCGGGGAGGCAGGACCATTTGTGAAGAGTCAATTACCTCTAAGCATATGTAAAGTATTTCCCCCCTCCCCCGGCGAAATAGTAAATATTTTAAGTAAAGGTAAAAGTTTCCCTTGCTCGAAAGCCAGTCGAATCCGACTCTGGGGTTGCGGTGCTCATCTCCGTTTCCAAGCCGAAGAGCCAGCGCTGTCCGAAGACGTTTCCGTGGTCATGTGGCCGGCATGACTAAACACCGAGGCGCACAGAACGCTGTTCCCTTCCCACCGAAGTGGTACCTATTTGTCTACTTGCAATTTCTTGCTTTCGCACTGCTAGGTTGGCAGGAGCTGGGGCCAGAGACGGGAGCTCACTCCATCATGCGGCACACTCGGGTCTCGAACTGCTGAACGACTGACCTTCCACAGCCTGCAGTTCAGCGTCTTAACCACTTGAGCCACCGCAGCTCCAGAACAGGGGTTTCCAAGACAGACAATAAATTCGAGGCCGTGATGTTTCCCTGCTCTCCCTCCGGGTCTCGTTCAACTACACAAAAACACGCCGAGCCCGAAGCCGTCCTGACCCACCCCGTCAGGGCTCTTTTTGTAGAAAAAGCCCAGCAGGAACTCATTAGCATAATCGGCCACACCCAACAGCAGAAACTCATTAGCATATTAGGCCACACCCCTGACAGCACAGCTCATTAGCACATTAGGCCACACCCCCATGTTACCAGAAGTGTGCTCATCCAGCCACACCCACCTTTTGCTTCTTATTCTGTTTACCTTGTTTGTGGTCAAAACCCAGGGCCTTTTTTTGTAGCAGGGACTCCTTTGCATGTTAGGCCACACACCCCTAACGTAGCCAATCCTAATGGGTTCCTGCTGTTGGGTGTGGCCTATTATGCTAATGAGTTCCTGCTGGGCGTGGCCAACTCGGGAGCCAGCCGGAACTCCGTTCCTGTGCGTTCCTGCCCAGAAATAGCCCTGCACCCCGTTCTCCGTACCGTTGACGAAAAGGACCCGGCTGGCTTTGGGGTGGTCGGCCCCATAGTATTCGTTGGTGAAAGTCACGGCCTCCTGGACCCTCTCTCGGGAGACGTTGAAGATCTCCTGGCAGGTGTCTAGCTCGGGCAGGAGACTCATGAGGCGGGAGAAGATGCAGGTGGAGTCCTCACACGTCTGGTCTGGAGGGAGAGGAGGAGAGAGACACAGCAGTTAAGACCCTCTGTGCTTGTTTGGATCCGGACCGGCCTCTAAAATTCGACAAGGACTGCAGAAACAGATTCTGACAGCCAGGGCTCTTTTTGTAGAAAAAGCCCAGCAGGGACACATTAGCATAATAGGCCACACCCAACAGCAGAAACTCATTAGTATATTAGACCACACCCCTGAGAGAGAGAGAGAGAGAGAGAGAGAGAGAGAGAGAGAGAGAGAGAGAAGCTCATTAGCATATTAGGCCACACCCCACGTTACCAGAAGTGTGCTCATCCAGCCACGCCTACCTTTTGCTTCTTATTCTGTTGACCTTGTTTGTTGTCAAAACCCAGGGCCTTTTTTTGTAACAGGAACTCCTTTGCATGATAGGCCACACACCCCTAATGTAGCCAATCCTAATGAGTTTCTGCTGTTGGGTGTGGCCTATTATGCTAATGAGCTCCTGCTGGGCGTGGCCAACTCGGGAGCCAGCCGGAACGCCGTTCCTGTGCGTTCCTGCCCAAAAATAGCCCTGCTGACAGCAATCTTGATTCTGTGAACTTAGGCAGACCACGAGAAGGGAGGGCAGGAAGGGTCGCCTCAGTGCTTAGTTCTCGCGGCCCTTTCTGACACGCGCAGGGAAATGCCGGTCGCCACTTTGGGGTCAGGAAGGAATTTTTCTCCAGACCACTTTGGCTGGAGATCCTGGAGGGGTTTTTTTTGTCATCTTCTGGGCATGGAACACAGAGGTCACTGGGTGTCAATGCTCCCTCTAAGCTGTGGAGTCTTGTGAGCAAATGTTGTACTGGGTGAGCCACTGGCACTGAAGTTGTGAGCGAGCAATTTGGCTGCTCCATAAATTAGTCTGCTCTGGAGCCTTTCTTCCTGAGCTCAGACAAAAAGGTGCGGGCCGGAGGCTAAAAGCCTGTGAGCTAGCTCACACTAACTCAGCTTAGTGGGAACACTGGCCACTGGGTGTGTGTGTGTGTGTGTAGGGGGGAGGTGCTACCACAGCTACCACAACACAAGGAGCTACATTGTGTGACTGAAGGTAACCTGCGGCAGCCATTTTGTGGCTGGCTCCGCCTCCTGCGGCAGCCATTTTGTGGCACCTAGTTTGTTTCTGCGCTCACCATGCTGTGTCAGAATTCCCGTGCCCACAGGCTCAAAATGGTTGGGGACCCTTGATATAAATAGAAGACGAAGAAGAAGAGGAGGAAGAGGAAGAAAAGGAGGAGGAGGAAGAGGAAGAGGAGGAGGAAGAAGAAAAGGACGATGAAAAAGAAGAAGAAAGACAAAGAAGAAGAGATTGGATTTATACTGCGCCCTTCACTACTCGAAGGCGTCTCAGAGCAGCTTACAAACTCCCTCCCCATAACAGACACCCTGTGAGGTAGGTGGGGCTGAGAGAGCTCTCTCGAGGACTGTCCCTCAGAGAGCAGCTCTGAGAGAACTTGTGACTGACCCAAGGTCACACCAGCAGCTGCGTGTGGAGGAGGAGTGGGGAATCAAACCCAGTTCTCCCAGATTAGAGTCCATGCTCCTAACCACTACACCAAAGCGGCTTCGGCAGGCTGATTTCCCCTTTAGTTTCCTTTAACTGGCTCTCTACCATCTGTGTTCCTGCAGCATGTCTGACCCTCATTGGGCCTTTGGGGGCAGGGTCCCCCTTTTGGTTAATTTAGAAAGTCCGATTCTTCTGCATATCCGGAAACACACTTGAGGCTGCAGCGAGCCCGAACTTCCGTTTTACCACTTCTGTGATTGGGTGGAGGCCGGTCGCTTCGTAACAGCCATAACTAAGTGTAATAAAAAAGGTTATGTCTGGCACTTAATGGAGAAGGATGTCGCATGCAACTATTTCGCTTTGGTTTGTTTACATCCCATTTTTCTCCCCAGCTGCAACTCAAAGCGGCTTTGGCGTAATGGATAAGAGTGGCGGACTCTAATTTGGAGAACTGGGTTCAATTCCCCACTCCTTCACATGCAGCCAGCTGGTTGACCTTGGGTCAGCCACAAGTTCTCTCAGAGCTTTTCTCTCAAGAGCAGTTCTCCCAGAGCTCTCTCAGCCCCACCTGCTTCACAGGGTGTCTGTTGTGGGGAGAGGAAAGGAAAGGCGATTGTAAGCCGCTCTGAGACTTCTTTGGGTAGTGAAGAGTGGGGTATAAAACCAACTCTTCTTCACAACAACAACAGCCCTGTGAGGTCAGCCAGGCTGAGAGCCTGTGACGGGCCCAAAGTCACCCAGCATGCTTCCATGGCAGAAGTGTGGATTCGAAACCAGGTCACCTAGGGTCCTACGTCCATCCCCTCTATTCACTACACCACACTGCCTCTCAGTGAAAGGGGCATGTAAAGTCCTTCTCACGCACAATAACCGAACTCGGTGCATGTCTGGAAGATCCATTGCCTCACGCCGACACCCGACATGGTGGAGTTCGTATCGCGCAGTTCCTTCAAGGAGTCCTCATGACAACTGTCTAGACACTTCATTCCAAAGCTGTCCAGGAACATCTGTTGGAAGAAGGGAGGTCACACCGAGGGCGTAATTTCTACTCAGGGTTCTGCCCCAGGAGCTATTAGCAAAAAATACAGTGGTGGAGTTTTGGTTATTTCCCGCCCCCTAAAAGCTGGAGTCTTTCTCTTCTTTTCCTCCTTTCCGTACTGCCTCTGCGAAAGAAGGCAAGAGGCCAACATAAGAACATCAGAAGTATAAAGATGAGTTGAGAGAAGGTGAAATTATTTGAACATACAATAATAAAAGCTTAATGGTATATTTGGATCGTTGGACATAGTGTGAATATAAATAAATATAAATTGTTAACTCTTAAACAGCACAAATAGGGAGGGAGGAATTACTTAATTACTTATGCAATTAGATGGGCATTATTAAGCTGGATTGATAGTAACATTGATGATGTTAAAGGAAATGTAATTTAATCTTACTATAAACTTTGTTGCTAAAGTAAAAAATCTTATAATCGTGCTTTAATTTACTGGATATGAAAAAGATATAAAGGATGGAGGTTTTTTTTAATCCAGACTGGAATGTTACAATGTACATAATATTTGTATATCCCATTGTGTGTTTGTTTGTCGAAAAAGCAATAAATAGAATTTACAAAAATAAAATAAAAAAAGGAACATTCGAAGAGCCCTGCTGGAACAGACCAGTGACCCATCGAGTCCAGCATCCTGTCTCACACAGTGGCCAACTAGTTCCTCTGGAGAGCCAACAACAGGGCACAGAGACCGAGGCCTTCGTAAGAACATCAGAAGAGCCCTGCTGGATCAGACCAGAGGTCCATCTAGTCCAGCATCCAGTCTCACACAGGGGCCAACCAGTTCCTCTGGAGGGCCAACAACAGGGCAGAGAGGCAGAGGCCTTCATAAGTACCTCAGAAGAGCCCTGCTGGATCAGACCAGTGAGGGTCCATCCAGTCCAGCATCCTATCTCACACGGTGGCCAGCCAGTTCCTCTGGAGAGCCAACAACAGGGCAGAGAGGCCGAGGCCTTCTCCTGATAAGCACATAAGAAGAACCAGTGGTCCATCCAGTCCAGCATCCTATCTCACATCCTTATGGATGTTTTGAACTTTCTAATATACGTTTTGTGCGTTGGTTCTCATTATTGTCCGCGGTATGCTTGTTCTGGTGGTTTTGATGCTACCCTGTTTGGAGGTCATTAACTCATGGGGTCGCCATAAGTAGAAGAAGAGATTGGATTTACACCCCACCCTTCACTTCCCGAAGGAGTCTCAGAGCGGCTTACGATCTCCTTTCCCTTCCCTTCCCCACAACAGACACCCTGTGAGGTAGGTGGGGCTGAGAGAGCTCTTTTGAGGACTGTCCTTGAGAGAACAGCACTGAAAGAACTTGTGACGGACCCAAAGTCACACCAGCGGCTGCAGGTAGAGGAGTGAGGAATCAAACCCGGTTCTCCCAGATTAGAGTCCGCGCACTTCCCATATACACAGAAAAATGGGGGGAGGCAGCAGGAGACCGTCATTATGAAGGGTGGAGGAGAAAAGAGAGGAGAAGACGGCGGAAGGAATCGAGCGAGGACTTCAGGAAGGAGAAGAAGCGGAAAAGCAGAAGTGAAAGTGTTGGTTTGCATCCAACTAGCACCAAACACCCTTGTTAAATTCTCTGAAGCCGCACAGTGTTGGGTGGATCGGTTTCTCTCATCGCTGCCAGTTAAGATTATTTGTAATTCTAGCTCCTCGCGGCCCAAACTCTGAAGGCGGCAATCACGACAACAGTCTATTTAGACTATAGAAAGCAATAGTGTTTCAGTGCCCATTGGCAGGGAGCCGCTTGCCAGTTTCCTCTGCTCCTAATCGCAAATAGAAAGACCATGGCCATCGCAGAAGAAGATTGTCTTTCAACCACACCGATGCTTAACAAGTTGAGGATTGTGAGTGTTGACACTCTTTGAGGACATTCCCCTGGGGAAAGAAACTGGCTCAAATTGGAAAGGGATCCCCTAATGAAAGAATTCCATTCACCCCATTTGGAAACATGAAACTGCCTTATATTGAAATCAGACCCTTGACCCATCAAAATACTGTCTACTCAGACTGGCAGCAGGGTCTTGGACAGATGTCTTCCCCATCCCCTCCTGCCTGGTCTGTTAAACTGGAGATGCGGGGATCGAACCAGGGACCATCTGCATGCCAAGCAGAGGCTCTGCCACTGAGCTACAGCCCCACTTCATGGCTCTCCAGGGCCTCAGGCTGAGGTCTTTCCCATCCCCTCCTGCCTGGTCCTTTTAACTGGAGATGCCGGGGATCGAACCAGGGACCATCTGCATGCCAAGCGGAGGCTCTGCCACTGAGCTATAGCTTCATGGCTCTCCAGGGTCTCAGGTGCCTGGTCCTTTTAACTGGAGATGCCGGGGATTAAACCTGGGACCTTCTGCATGCCAAGCAGAGGCTGTGCCACTGAGCCACGGCTCCACTCCATGGCTCTCCAGGGTCCCAGGCAGAGGTCTTTCCCATCCCCTCCTGCCCGGTCCTTTCAACTGGAGGTGCCGGGGATCGAACCGGGGACCTTCTGCATGCCGAGCAGAAGGTCTGCCACTGAGCCACAGCCCCACTTCATGGCTCTCCAGGGTCTCAGGCGGAGGTCTTCCACATCTCCTCCTGCCTGGTCCTTTTAACTGGAGATGCCGGGGATTGAACCTGGGACCTCCTGCATGCCAAACAGAGGCTCTCCCACTGAGCCACGGCCCCCCTTCATGGCTCTCCAGGCTCTCAGGCAGAGGTCTTTCACAGCCCGAGTGTCAGATGCCCTTGTGCCCATGGGCACCACGTTGGGGAACTGTGACTGAGACCAACAAGCTTTTAGAAGCTGTTAATAAATAAGGGCTGGCCATCGATCAACCTAGTCAATCGCATGAGTATTCATTGAATGTGCCCAGTTTTACATACGAGCGAGGGTGTGTGTGTCATTTTGAATTAAACACAGAACCGGGGACCCAGGGGGACAACACAAACTCACCTTGTTGATCACCATCAGCTTCTGGTAGGGAGAGCCACTCTGGTTGGTCATGAGCTTACACAGACCGGCCACGCTGCTCCCCTGGACCCCTTCGTCGTTGTACTGCACGGCGCCCATGAAGATGTCGGCAAGGCTGCTGACCATGTCGACGAGGTCGGCGGTCCCGTTCAGAGGCTTGCAGGAGCGGAAGTCCCCCGCTAGTTTCTCCAGCTGCCCAGCGTGGATCAGGCTGTCCACGGCGGAGAAGGCCTCTGCCACTGCGGCCCGGCACTGCACGGGGAGAGCAAGAGAGTCACTTCTGGGGAAGGTGGTATAGCGGTCACACTAGAGGAGAGGAGGGGGAAGAAGAGGAGGAAGAGGAGAAAGAAGAGGAGGAGGAAAGGGAAGAAGAAAAGGAGGGAGGAGGAAAGGGAAGAAGAAAAGGAGGAGGAGGAAGGAGAAGAAGAGAAGGAAGAAAGGGAAGAAGAAGAGGAGGAGGAGGAGGAAGAAGAAAAGGAGGAAAGGGAAGAAGAGGAGGAGGAGGAAAGGGAAGAAGAAAAGGAGTTGGAGGAGGAAGAAGAGGAGGAGGGAAGGGAAGAAGAAGAGGAGGAGGAGGAGGAAGAAGAGGAGGAGGAGGAGGAAGAAGGAAAGGAGGAGGAGGAAGAGGAAGAGGAGAAAGGAGGAAGAAGAGGAGATTGGATTTATACCCCGCCCTTCACTACCCAAAGGTGTCTCAGAGCGGCTTACAAACTCCTTTCCCTTCCCCTCCCCACAACAGACACCCTGTGAGGTAGGTGGGGCTGAGAGAGCTCTTTTGAGGACTGCTCTCTTTCAAGAACAGCTCTTGTCAGAACTATGGCTTGCCCAAGGTCATCCGGCAGCTGCAAGTGGAGGAGTGGGGAATCAAACCTGGTTCTCCCATATTAGAGTCCGCGCACTTAACCACTACACCAAACTGGCTGTAAGAGGTGGAGGAAGGAGGAGGAGGAAGAAGAAGAGGAAGAAGAGGAGGAGGAAGAAGAGGAAGAAGAGGAGGAGGAAGAAGAGGAAAAAGAAGAGGAGGAGGAGGAAGGAGGAAAAAGAAGAGGAGGAGGAGGAAGGAGAGAAAGGAGAGGAAGAAGAGGAGGAGGAGATTGGATTTCCATCCTGCCCTTTACTACCCAAGGAAGTCTCAGAGTGATATAAATTTCCACACTGCATCATTTGGAAGGAGGAAGGAAAGAGA